TATTTAATATTTGAAATATAGTTTTTGTTTCCTTGAAAATAAAATGTATTATAAGCCTTAACTACTCATCTCAAAATTATTAGACCTAATTTTACATTCATGAAGGTAGAGTACCATTAGTAACTTAGTTAATTTGATAAAGTCAGGAATAACCTAAATCTTCTAAGCTGGCCGATCTCGGTATGATATCATTGAAAGTAAGGGAGGAAATGATCGTTTTCATAATATTTAATTGCCACAATAAAGACTATTGATGTATAAGTGATTCGATGCAAGCTTTGTATCCCACTTAATCAACTATACATTGTTGCATTTAAAATTTGTATTATTTTAAACATTTTTTATTAACAATATTTAGGCACAATATGGTGAAGGACCTAGGTCTGAAAGGCGAGGAAAATAAATTTTTCATCCAACAACTCTATTATTTTGTAAGAAGAAAATATTTCTATAGGTGAGCGGAGGTACCCAATGCATTCTAATGATTATAAGGGTTTAGTTCTCTGGTGCATCATTCATTTTTAACATCAAGTAATTCTAATAAATTTGTTATACATGATTGCCTTCATTAATTGTGTGTTGTATTTTAAAATATAAATATTATCTAAATTTATATGGAGTATAGTTCGTCATCTTTACATGCCACGATTATCATACGAACTTTGTGATACTTCTTTCTAATAATCAAGTATCACTTAAGTAGAAAAAAATAGGTTTCTGTAGGAACATTTCCAACAATAATAACTCCTGAAAAAATAGTGATAGTTTGTTTGTTTTGTGTAGCCACATTAGGCTATCTAATTTGTCCACCGCGGGGAATCGAACCGCACATTTGAGTACTGTAAGTCCGTAAACTTACCGCTGTCCCATCGGGGGAATTGAAGTTAATAAAGGTAGCTAGTCAACACCACCGACTGCCATCTCTGGAGCTTCCTTCGAATGAATAGTGGGATTGAAAGTCACATTATAACTCCCTCACGACTGAAAGGGCGAGCATAATCGTTGACGGGATTCGAACATGCGACACACAGATTGCGGGTCGAATGCCCTAGCCACCAATCCGCACTAAGCCCATTTCTCATATCAGAGGCAATGTACGCACTGGTTCGAAATAGCCTCTACTTGAAATTAGAAATGAATAAGTGAGGTCATCTAACTTGTTTTAATGAATTACATCCATGCATACTGTATACGAGTTACAGTCACGCAGAGTTAATAAAAACATTTATTTCAAGCTTACCATTGTACTGAAAATTAATTTTAAAAATAAACAAGAATACTGCATCACTGCGTGAATTACGTCAATGAACTTTATTTTATTTCTAACATTAGGGATGTTTTTTGAAGAAAACATAGCTTTTCAGTAGGTTCTGAATGGTTTTACGAAAACTTCAAACTCTGTCAATTTAGTCAGCAGATGATATCAAAATTGATTATTTCGGGATTAGAAAAACAGCCGAAAGCCGAGGTTTAGTGCTATATAACCTCAAGTTTACCACTGAGATTCAATTACGATTTGTTTTACTTTTATTGTTGTTAAGAGATAAAATAACAGTGTACTCAAGTAAGTCATTACAGAACTCAAGTTTCAGTTGTGTAAGAGAGTCTTGCCCTGAAGAGAATTAGGTCAGCCAGTCATTGAACTTGACACTAGTAATTGTTCCACGGAAAGTCAGTCTGTCTGACTTTCCTCCAGAAAACAAGTCGCGGAAAACAAAACAATAAAGATATTTCCAAACTTTAAAGATACATTTATCCTGAAATAGACAAAGGAGGTTAATCTGTGTAGTATAATCTTCAAGCATGCCTATTATTTATGTTTATTAGATTTTTGACAATAGAAAAAACCCTAAGTTTATTTAATGATAAAAGTGATAGTTTTGAAAAGATTGTAGACTCGAACGAATATTATCATCTGAAAATACGATAAAGAAAATGTACTTTCATCGTTCAGAGGGATGAACATGTTTCGAAGATCAATTACATTTTCACGATAAAACCAAATTTATGAGACTTATCATGGATCTTACAAAAGCCAAGGAGACATTGTTACAGAGATACTTACTGAAACTAAATAAATAATAATGATAAGGTTTTTAAACAACTTAAACATTTTTCACGATAAAACCAAATTTATGAGACTTATCATGGATCTTACAATAGCCAAGGAGGCATTGTTACAGAGATACTTACTGAAACTAAATAAATAATAATAATGAGAAGGTTTTTAAACAACTCAGATCAGTAGGTTCGAAAGCAGGTATGTTAATAAAAAAGTTTGGCACGTGAGATCCATGATGTTTAATACTGAAACTTTCAGTTATAAACTTTCTTAAAACTCGTAGCTTTATCGACTTCATTGTCAAGAACATATATGAATTTATTGAGTTGGTCAAGAGCTTGTTAATTAAGGAGGGGTGTTATTGTTTTAGCTTGAACCTGGCATGATTTGGTGGACTGGGTGTTCGACTGTCAATCTGCGGGTAGCAGGTTTGAATCCCCTTCGTCGAACATTCTCGACCTACATGCTTGCCGACTGCGCCAGCCACCCGTGAGTAAAAATTCTTGACTTACCAACATACCTGCCGACCCCAAACTTGTTGGGATTAAGGTCGTTATGATGAAGAAGATTATTGTGTTAGGTTTGACATTGAATCCTTATATACAAACATACCGCTATCAGAGACGATTGTTTTATCTGGTATTTAAAGATACTTAACACATTAATGGATTAAATAAGTATATCGTTCATATGTTATTAAGAACAGCAACAGCTGGATGGCTGGTTATTTTAGAGCAGAGCCACATTAGACTATCTCTTGTGTCCACCAAGGGGAATCGAACCTCGGATTTTAGCATTGTAAGTCAGTAAACTAACTGTTGTCTCACCGGGGGACAAACGGTTAAAGAACAATATAATTTAGTTTTTACGGTAGTTTATGTAATCAAGTTATTCTAAGACACTATGAGTAAACGTAATGAAGAATGTATAACGACATGTTAAACACACTATATCTGCTATATACGGTGCCGTCGAAGCCTTTCGCCCAATTCCAGTGCTCAGCTAGGATATAACAGACACAGTAGTGATTAAGAGCCACTTTTCTCTTACCACTGTTGACCTTAGAGAGGTATTTAGTCACCCCTAGACAAAATATGAAGCGCTTATGTAGGCTAAGAGTATCTAAATGACTCTGTGCTAAAAGTAAGGTATAGTGTTTTGCATAGTGCATATGTATTTTTTACTATGTGGAAAAACATTAATTTTTCATTTAATAGAGAACGAAGCTTCTTAAAACTGAAACTGATAAAACTTATCCGAGATCCACGATGGCACAGAAGAGTTTAGTTGATCTTATTTTCATATCCTTTTAGCATCTGGCTTGAAAAAAAACTTGCCAGAGATTCTGTTTAACAAAAGCTCGAAAAGGGAATTTTAGATGAAATATTTATTATTTTTCGTTTTTATTGTATAAATGTTTGTTTGAATTTCGCGCAAAGCTACACGAGGGCTATCTGCGATAGCCGTCCCTAATTTAGCAGTGTAAGACTGGATGGAAGGCAGCTAGTAATCACCACTCTTTTACCAACGAATAGTGGGATTGACGATCACATTATAACGCCCCTACGGCTGAAAGGGCGAGCATGTTTGGTGTAACGGGGATTCGACCCTCAGATTGCGAGTCGAGCGCCCTAACCACCTGGCCATGGCGGGCCTGTATA